TTTTTATAAAAAAATTCTATTTTGCCTCAGCTCTTTTTAAATTTGATAAAAGTTCAAAGATGAAATTACTTTTATGGAAAATAAAATTGGGAATAAGAGAATCATATAAGAAAATACTTTTATAAAGTATAAACCATGAAACACGTTTTGGTCAATTATAAAAATAATTAATTGGAAACTTTATATGAAACGCGTTTGGATCCAGCTGGAAGGCAGTAGTAAGCTAAACTCCACTGCTTTCGTTGTCCTTTGTTTTCTTCCTCCCTTCAATCTCTCTTCTTCTTCAGTTCTCTTCTCTCTCTCTCAATCTTTCAGAAATCACTCAAAAACTCTTTCCCTCACAAACTTCTCTCACCCCTTCAGATACCACTAAAATTACTTTTACTCTGAAACCCGATCACTTGATTTTTCACCCCTCTCTCTTTCCCTTATTTCTTATTTATTGTTAAAAAAAAAAAAAAAAGAATCCTTCCCATTTTCTTATTTTTGGTTTACAAAAAAAGAACAAAAAGATCTTCTTTTTAAAAAAAAAAAAAAAAAAAAAATTATTTCAGCATTTTTCCTTACTCTAATTTAGTTATTTGAGTTTGCATCTGTTATTATCTCTGTTTTATTATTATTATTATTATTTTTATATTTTTCGAACTTGAGGAAGAAGTGAAGGAGAAAAGAAAGTTTTATAATGGCTGTAGAACTTATTGGGGCTATCGCCGGTGCCGGGAGTTTTGTTCTGGACGCTGTCAAGTGTTTGGCTGCTCCGATTGGGCGTCCATTTAAGTACTTGTACAACTACGATACCAATTTCAGAAATCTCGAAACGGAAGTTAGGACGCTGAAGAATACAAGGGACGACGTGCAGGTTAAGGTTACTGATGCCGAAGTAAATGTGGAAGAGATCAAACAGAGCGTTAAGGACTGGCAGACTACGGTGAACAATACCATTACTGAAGGAGAGAGGTTGATTCAAGAGAAAGAAGACAACCCTGGATGTTTCAAGGGATTGCGCCCCAACTGCATCACCCGCTACAAACATAGCAAGAAGGCATTCAAATTAAAGAAGGATATTGTTCTGAAGCAAGAAGAGAAATTCGACAGAGTTTCCTATCCTACTATTCCACTAGAGAAGAACTTTGACAAGCTCCAAGATGATGTTTTGAAGTTGAGGAATGCAAGAGGCAAAGTGCAGCGTAAGGTTGAGGAGGCTAAAAACAACGTGGAAGAGATTGAAGAGGATGTGAAGAAGTGGCTAGAGGATGTTGACTCTATCATTGTTAAAGCAGAGGATTTGATTAAAAGCCAAAGTTCAATTGGCACTGACCGCGAGACCCGCTGCCAAAAGAGCAAGGCAGCATCCGAATTAATGGAGGATAAGATTGATCCACTCCTGCAGCAAGAAGTGAAATTCGACAGAGTTTCCTATCCTACTATTCCGCTAGAGAAGAACTTTGACAAGCTCCGAGATGATGTTTCGAAGCTGAAGAATGCAAGACTGAAAGTGCAGTGTAAGATTAAGGAGGCTAAAAACAATGTGGAAGAGATTACAGAGGATGTGAACAAGTGGCTAGAGGATGTTGACTCTATCATTATTAAAGCAGAGGAGTTGATTGAAAACCAAAGTTCAATTGGCACTGACTGGGAGACCCGCTACCGAAATAGCAAGGCGGCATCCGAATTAATGGTGGATAATATTGCTCCACTCCTGCAGCAAGAAGAAAGATTCGATAAAGTTTCCCGCCCTACTATTCACAAGGAGATATGGCTTAGATCTAATGAAGATTATTTGGCATTCGAATCAAGAAACTCCACTGTGAAGAATGTATGGGATGCTTTAAAAGATGAGGAAATCTACATGATGGGTGTTTATGGGATGGGTGGTCTAGGCAAGACCACTCTTGTGCAGGAAATTGGTAGGAAAGCCGAGAAGGATAAGCTCTTTGATGAGATTGTTTTTGTTGAGGTAGTGTTTAAACTAAGGGGTTTCACTTTATTATATTAGGATATTTATTTAGAGTGATAATTATTAGTATTTAATTTATATCTTTAATTTTATTTGAGTGAAATTAATTAGACTTTAGGCTTCTATAAAAGGAAGTTTAATTAATGGGAAAAAAATATTCAATAGTCTTGTTTCTTTGTTTTTATGAAAAAATACTTGTTTTTATTGTTTATTTATAATTTTATATATTTTGGTTCAGTTTATCTGTTAAGGTTTACTTTGTTATATATTTTGTTTATTTTGCGGTTCTTTGTTTTGCAGATAACAGAAACTCCAGATATAAAAAAAATTCAAACAATAATTGCAAACAAATTAGGTCTCAAATTCGAAGATGCAATGGAAGATGAGAGTCAGAGAGCAAGCAAGTTATATTCAAGAATGGAGAAGAGGAATATCCTTTTAATTGTAGATAATATTTGGGGAGAGCTAGATTTGAAGATTGTAGGAATTCCTTCTGGAGCTGATCGTGGAAGAAATAAAATATTGATGACAACAAGAAACGTTGATGTGTTGGAGAAGATAGGTTCTACAAAAACTTTGGGGATGGGCATTTTAAATGAAGAAGAAGCTTGGAGCCTATTCAAGAAAATGGCAGGTAATTGTAATAACTCATTTTAATTTGATAACACATTAAGTTTGTGCTGTGGTTTGATATGAATAAATAAAAAGCTAAAAGTAGTAATGACATGAAATAATTTCAAAATCTCTATAATTACTCCATTTATAGAATAGTAGTGTTGGCTTAGGGACATCTCTATAACATCGCATTAAAAACAAGAAATCTAAATTTAATTGTTTTTTTGAAAATTCCTTTGACAAAAGTTTTATTCTCTAATTAAATATTCTGAAAATCAAATTTCAATGTTTAATTTCCACATGCAGAAACAATTCTAATTTATGGCTATTTTCTAATTACAGGCTAGTCTAATTTTGTTCAAACTGATCTGTCTAACCAAAGTCTAACAACAATTGTACCCTTTTTCCCGAGGCAAATAAGATGGTCCTGAGGTTTAGCCTAAAATCCGTTTGGTCCAGTAAAATAAAAAAATAACTATTAGGTCCTTATCTATTGACAGTCTTTCTGTTAATATAAACAAGGTAAGGGTATTTTAGTTTTTTCCAGATTTTTGTAATGTGATAATTAATATTATAATAATAATAAAAAAGCCAAAAAACTTCATCTTCAACCACCACGGCGCCACAACTCTGCCTTCACAACCCACCAGCAAGTCTTTCGCCGCCACTGTCAACCACCCAATCCACTACCATCCCTTACAATAATCACAAAACAACCTTCTATACCCAAAACATCACCACTACCTCTTCACTAACATCTCTTTAAAAATCACAACAACCTTCCGAACACACGACATCACTTACACTTTTTGGGGTGGGGATTTGGTTGCTGCTTCCCTACGGGTTGGAGCTGCCAAGTGGGACTTGGCTGGGGAAAGACCGGAAAGTGGGGTGCGGGATCTTTTTGGGTTTTTGTCATCTCCTAATACTAAAGCCAATTATAAAATAAAATAAATAAATAAAAAAACCCCTTTGTGATATTCTAAATAAAAATAAATAAATAAATAAAAGACTTGACGTTAGTTAGTCATTATAACGTTTGACACCTAACAATGATATAGCAATGGAATCCCATATTTGCCCTTGAAAACGTGGCATAAAAGAGAAAAGACTTAATTGCCCCTTTTATATAAAATATAAAGGGTTAGAAAGGTAGTTTCAAATATTCAATCTTGTTTAAAGTGCAACTCATTTATTTTTAATAGTGTAAATTTTTAAACTTGAAAATACAAATTTCATGTACTAATAAATGGCATTGTTTTGCTTTTAAGATGTTGTTACACCTTAGATCCTCTTAATTTCTATTTCGATTTCTACATCTTCAATCTTCTATTTTAAAATTTGTTTTACTTCTTTTTAAGATGATGAAGATGAAATTTAAAGTGTATTCATTAAGATGCATGCTTTAGACTAATTCTTAATATTTGAATTAGTTTTATTAAATGCCATTAGTTTATTATATTGCTTAGTGAAACACCCATTATAAAAATTGTCTTAAAGCTCTTGATAAGACTAATGTATTTCTATTATTTTAGAGATGAAGAGTGGAAAGGGATACTATTTGGAATTAAGTGCAGTTTATTTAGATTGTCAAATATTTTTTACGGTTTTATTTAGAAAAGAGTCTAATAAGATAGCTAGAGGGAAAATAACAACACTTGGAACTTTTCTTGTTTTTAAATTCAAAGCATGTAAAGAGACAATGCAATTAGTATATAATCATTGCTTCCTATGCAGGTGGTGTAATTCAAACACGTGAATTGAATTCTTTGCCACAAGATGTGTGTAAGGAATGTGGAGGTTTGCCTATTGTCATTTGTGCTATAGCAAAAGCATTAAAGAACAAGAGTCGTCCATCTGATTGGAAAGTTGCCTTGCAAGAATTAAAAGCACCTTCACCGACAAAATTCATAGGATTACTGGAAAAGGAATACATGAAGATTGCCTTGAGTTACAAATATTTAAGAGATGATGAGCTCAAGAAAACTTTTTTAATTTCTAGTCTAATGAAAAACAATACTTCCATTTCCGACTTTTTTATACATGTTGTGGGTTTGGATATACTTGAAGGAGCTAACCTGACAATGGAAGACGCAAGAGATAGACTAGATAAATTGGTTCGTGAGCTCAAAGACTGTTGTTTATTACTTGACGGTTTCGAAAGCGAAGAATTTGCTATGCATGATGTTGTCCGTGCTGTTGCTGTAAAAATTTCATATACAGAGCACCATGTATTTACAGGGAGCAATGATGTTGAAAGGGAATGGAAGGATAAAGATAAACTCAAGAAATGCACAAAAATCTCCGTACCTGGTAGTAGTACTGTTATTAGTCAGTTGTGGCTTAAAGATCTGGATTGTCCAAATCTTGAATATTTCTGCATAATCAATAAGTGGTATTCTTCTCACGAAATCCCTGAGGACCTGTTCACGATTATGCCAAAGCTCAAAGTTTTAAATTTATGTGCAATGCAACAATCGTCGTTACCGTCGTCACTTGATCTTTTGACAAATCTTCGAACATTGTGTTTAGATTATAACAACATTGAAAGTGTTGCTATTATTGGAAACCTAAAGAAGCTAGAAGTTCTTAGCTTGCAACATTCACCTATTAAGGAATTGCCTACAGAAATAGGTCAATTGACTCAGCTAAAGTTGTTCAATTTGAGCAATTGTTGGAGGTTGGAAATTATTGCACCAAATGTGATATCAAATTTATTGCAATTGGAAGAATTCCATGTAGGCGGATGCCCTATTCAGTGGAAGGTTGAAGTACTTGAGGAATTGAAGCTCTTGTCTCAACTGGCCAGTTTAGAATTAGATATTAAAGATAAGAAGATGTTGCCTAAAGACTTCTTTTCCAAAGAGCTTAAAAGGTACAAAATATCAATAGGAGATTGGTCATCCCACTATATAACCTATGATGAAGATGAGGTTTTGAGGATGTTCGAATTGAAATTTAATTCTACCATTTCCTTAGAAGAATTACAAGGAATCAAGAATGTTGAACTCTTACGCTTAGCCGAATTTTTAGATGTTGAGAATAGTTTTAATGAGTTCGCAACTCTCATGCCACTTCTTAACAAAAAGGTTTGTTTAACTATAACCTCTTGTACTTGTCCATATATATATATATATATATATTCTTATTTTATTCTCTTATAATTTTTCTCTTTTGTTAACACATAGTTGTGGTATTAGCTTGTTTGTTCTTCTCTTTTTGCCTTTTTTTTCTTGTGATTTACAGTTTCAGTTAAATTTCTTTAGTAAATACTTCTCTTTCAATCTCTATACTACTTAATTTCTGTCGAATTGATTTCATTAATTCATGATTGATTCCGTGATGAAAATTATTACAGACGAAAAAACACATCATAAATATTAATGGCATGTCAACTATAAATCCATAAGAATCAATTATTTCTTTTTCTAATTTATCTCGTCTGAGTTGGTAAATATTGAAACAACAATTAATTTTGGTTGCAGGTTATTTTCACCAATTTGACGACCTTGGAATTGAACAATATTGGTTCTGTAAAGATTTGGGATACCCAATTTCCAGCACCTATGTCTTCCTCCTATCAGAATTTGACACGATTTATCTTGAAGAGTTGTGGAAAAATAAAATATGTGTTTCCATCTTCCATTGCCAAAAGCCTCCAGACTCTACAACACCTTGAGATAATGGATTGTGAGGTTTTAGAGGAGATTGTTTCGGAAGAAGAAGGAACAAAAGCTGCTATTAATTTTGCTTTTCCACAAGTTTCCTATTTGAAGCTTATGAATTTACCAAAACTTGTAGCTTTCTATCTTGGAATACACATCAATTTGGAGGACAAATTTGTCACTCTCATGCCACTTCTTAACGAAAAGGTTTGATTGACTATAACCTCTTGTACTTGTCTATATATATATATATTCTTATTTTATTCTCTTATGATTTTTCTCATTTGTTAACACATAGTTATGGTATTGGCTTGTTTGTTCTTCTCTTTTTGCCTTTTTTTTTTTTTTTCTGGTGATTTACAGTTCCAGTTAAATTTCTTTAGTAAATACTTCTCTTTCAATCTCTATACTACGTAATTTCTGTCGATTTGATTTCATTAATTCATGCTTGATTCCATGATGAAAAAACACATCGTAAATATTAATAGCATGTCATCTATAAATCCGTAAGAATCAATTATTTCTTTTTTAAATTTATCTCGTCTGAGTTGGTAAATATTGAAACAACAATTAACTTTTGTTGCAGGTTATTTTCACCAATTTGACAACCTTGGAATTGAACAATATTAGTTCTAGAAAGATTTGGGATACCCAATTTCCAGCGCCTATGTCTTCCTCCTATCAGAATTTGACACGCTTTGTCTTGAAGAGTTGTGGAAAAATTAAATATGTGTTTCCATCTTCCATTGCCAAAAGCCTCCAAACTCTGCAACACCTTGAGATAATGGATTGTGAGGTTTTAGAGGAGATTGTTGCGGAAGAAGAAAGAACAAAAGCTGCTAATAATTTTGCCTTTCCGCAGGTTATCTATTTGAAGCTTGTGAATTTACCAAAACTTACAGTTTTCTATCCTGGAATGGATATTTTGGAATTGCCGATCTTAAAAAGGTTGGAGGTGAGGAAATGTGAAAAATTCACTTCAAAATATCTAAGCTTCCATGAAAACTCACTTCATATTTCAGAGCCGAAATCCTCTTGGTTGGCCAATAAGGTACGAATCTCTTGTTTACCTCTTCATTGAAAAGCAAAAAAATTATTTAATATATTATATAAATTAGAACTTAATAATGTTATTCTTAACATATCTTTTTTTTTTTAAACAAAAATTTAGAAAAAAAAATAAATAAAAATAAATAGTCAATTGGGTTTGGACAACTTTTGTTACTGGATTCTTGTCAATTAAACTCAGTAAAGTATTAGGTTTAAAATCATCCAATATAATTCTAGATATCATCAAATGTTTACTCGAAATTATCAATATGATTTTATTTTCAGCAAAGACAACGTTTTGTGAAACTATGAGGAAAAAAAAAAAAAAAAAAACAAGTTTTAAAAAGGCAAAAAAGACAAAACTTGGTTAATTACCATTAAATTTAACTCAAAAAAATGAAAAGATATAAATACCCATATAATAATAGGAAGAATGACAAAATGACCAAAGAAAGGGAAGTTTTTTTTAGCTTCTATCAACTTGATCAGTATCCAACCTTGTTTAATACCAAAAGCAGCCTTGCTTAATAAGAGCCACAAAATATTTGGACAAATCGTGCTTGATATCCAATTTGATTTTAATTTATTAGATGCAAGCCTTGCCACATGTTTAGTTTTCATAGGGTAGTAATGTCTTTTATGAAATTAATTTGATTGGTAAATTAAAGAATCAAATACAATTACCCCTTATCCTTCTCACAATTAATTTAAACAGATTTTAAAGGTTAAGTGTCCTTTTTTGTTATTTCAAGAACCTCTTTCCTTTTATAGGGATTCATGAAAAAGAAGTCCTATTTTTTATTTCACAGTCTCCCTAAAATAATATTTATAGAAAATATGTTTTAAAGAAATTAAGATTACTAAAGAAGTAAAATAAATAAATCAATAAATTCGGTAAAAATAAAAAAGTTAAATAAATTTCTAGGAACTTTTTTTAATAATTTTTAAAGGTTTATCATAAATATTCCTGAAAATCTTTAAAAATATTGTTGAAACTGTCGTCAAATTCATCATAAACCTCATTTTTATCTATCTCAGTCTATTTTTAAATCTTACCAAAGTAGAACTTTTAGTACAGGTTCAATATTCAAAACTTAATTTCTAAAATATTATAATATAATTCATTGTATTATCGTATTTATAATTCTAGAATACAGCTTCAATATTATGTTTCAGAATTATTTTAAAGCTTTTTTAAGAAATAGATTAAAAAATTGTACGAATTTTACAGTAAAAAATAAGTGATTCTTCTTGTGATTGGAATCATTATACAAAACATTTGCAACTTGAAGCTGATGAGCAAAAAATCAGTTCAAATTTGAAACAAATTACAATTCAAAACTCGTCTTGTTTTTCTTATAGTTTCATAACAAATTATAGCCCAATTGATAATATTCTTTTTTTTTTTTACTAGAAATATTTCTAACAAGTGATCCTTCTTATTATTGGAAACATTGTACAAAAAACATGTACAAGTGAAACCCAACCAAACTGACATGATCTGGTAGCAGTCAAATTTGAAACAAATTATATTGGAAATTTGTAAATGTCCATTGCCAAAAGCCTCCAACTCTACAACACCTTGAGATAATGGATTGTGAGGTTTTAGAGGAGATTATTGCGGAGACGAAAGAACAAAAGCTGCTAATAATTTTTCCTTACTGCAGGTTACATATTCTTATTTTATTCTCTTATGATTTTTCTCATTTGTTACCACATAGCTGTGGTATTGATTTGGTTGTTCTTTCTTTTTTTGCACTTTTTAATGCTTATTTACATTTTCAGTCAAATTTCACTATTAAATACTTCTCTTTCAACCTCTATACTACGTAATTATTGTCGAATTGATTTCATTAATTCATGTTTGATTCCATGATGAAAATTATTAGAGATGAAAGAACACATCGTAAATATTAATGGCATGTCATCTATAAATCCATAAGAATCAATTATTTTTTCTTTAAATTTATCTCGTCTGAGTTGGTAAATATTGAAACAACAATTAACTTTGGTTGCAGGTTATTTTCACCAATTTGATAGCCTTGGAATTGAACAATATTAGTTCTGGAAAGATTTGGGACACCCAATTTCCAGCATCTATGTCTTCCTCCTATCAGAATTTGAGACGCTTTATCTTGAAGAGTTGTGGAAAAATAAAATATGTGTTTCCATCCTCCATTACCAAAAGCCTCCAGACTCTACAACACCTTGAGATAATGGATTGTGAGGTTTTAGAGGAGATTATTGCGGAAGACGAAAGAACAAAAGCTGCTAATAATTTTTCCTTACTGCAGGTTACCTATTTGAAGCTTGTGAATCTACCAAAACTTGCAACTTTCTATCCTGGAATACACATCAATTTGGAGGACGAGTTTGTCACTCTCATGCCACTTCTTAACGAAAAGGTTTGATTGACTATAACCTCTTGTACTTGTCTATTTTATATATTCTTTTTTCTTCTCTTATTCTTTTTCTCATTTGTTAACACATAGTTGTGGTATTGGCTTGTTTGTTCTTCACTTTTTGCCTTTTTGTCTGGTGATTTACAGTTTCAGTTAAATTTCATTAGTAAATACCTCTCTTTCAATCTCTATACTACATAATTTCTGTCTATTTGATTTCATTAATTCATGCTTGATTCCATGATGAAAATTATTACAGACAAAAGAACACATCGTAAATATTAATGGCATGTCATCTATAAATCCATAAGAATCAATTATTTCTTTTTAAATTTATCTCGTCTGAGTTGGTAAATATTGAGACAACAATTAACTTTGGTTTCAGGTTATTTTCATGAATTTGACGACCTTGGAATTGAACAATATTAGTTCTGGAAAGATTTGGGATACCCAATTTCCAGCACCTATGTCTTCCTCCTATCAGAATTTGACACGCTTTATCTTGAAGAGTTGTGGAAAAATAAAATATGTGTTTCCATCTTCCANTTCCCCAAAACCAAAGTCATTCTACTCACAATTTGCAGCTGCCAAATCCCTCCTCTCACAACATTGCTAGCCTTGCAAGTGGTGCGCGGCTGGCCAAGGCCCCTGCTTAATTTTTTTTTTTTTTTTTTTTTGTTAATTATAAAATAATAAATCTTTTAATTATTATTATTTTATATAAATTTACTTTTCAACTAAAAATATTTTAAAGTTGTATAAAATTATACCCTTATAAAATGTTAAATCTAACTATCTCTAATAACATATTATCCCTTTTTAAAACTATTTTGGAACTTGTTTTCTTTTTCTTATAGTTTGTAAAACATTATCCCTCAATTGATAGCAGTCCCTTTATTTTTTACTAGAAATTTTGCCTAACAAGTGATCCTTCTTATGATTGGAAACTAGATCACAAATTCAAAATTATATTACATGATTTGGATCTGAGCAAAAAATCAGTTCAAAAAGGACAAAACTAAGTTAGTTACCATTAAATTTAAGAGGGAGAAATTATAAGACATAGATACCCATATAATAATAGGGAGAATGACAAAAATGGACACCTATTTACTATACACACCAAAAAACAGGCTAGCTTTTAAAACATGTTTAGTTTTCATAGGTTAGTAGCGTCTTTTATGAAATTTAATTTGACTAGTAAATTAAAGAATCATATGCAATTACCCTTTGTTCTTCTCATAGTTAATTTAAACCAATTTCAGTGGTTCCATATTTAAAATTTATTTCTATTATATTATAATGCAATTCATGGTATTGTCGTATTTATAATATTAAAACTCAACTACAATATGATGTTTCAAATCTATTTTAAAATTTTGTAAGTGTGTTTGGAATTCAATTTTAAAACATTTCAACAGTATATTAAATAATTTTCTTTAATTATTAATTTCTCATACAATAATTTGTTAATTGGGAACCCAACTTTAATATTTCATCATCCACATTAACTATTAATTATTAATTGGCAAGGCCCGTGCGTAATTTACTATTGTTTTTTAAGTCTTCTCTTCTTTTTTTGTAATTTTTTATTATTATAGAACTAATAAAAAAATAAATGTCCAAAGTCCAACTTATAGTTAGGATGGGCCGGTTTTGGATGTTAAAGAAGATAAAATTGACATTTCATACCAAAAGGAAAGATTAAACAAGAATATTTCAAAAAATAGAAGATAAAACTACAAAAACTAAAAAAAAAAGCTAAACTTTTGGGTTCGGCCTATGACGTTTGAGCCAATAACTAAACTTTTGTTTTAAGTATATAATTAAAAAGCTAATTGGATTTTGTTTTGATGGATTTGTAGATCAATCACGATTTGGAGGCACTTGAATTAAGGAATGGTGGGGAAGGGATTGTATGGCAAAGTCAATCTAAAGCTCTTACGATCGAAGGTGATGAGTTAGCAAATAATCCACTCCGATTCCTTCAAAGATTTGAAAACATGAAAGAGCTCAAACTATCTAGATGTGGTCAATACAAAGAGCTATTCTTTCCAAATCTTCCAAATCTTGAAGTTCTAGATGTACAGGATTGTAGCAAATTGATGAATCTAGCATCATCCTCAGCTTCTTTCCAGAATCTTAAAGTTTTGAAAGTCGACAATTGCCATGAGTTGATGGAGTTAATAACACCTTCAACAACTAGAAGATTTATCTTGAAGAGATGTGGAAAAATAAAATATATGTTTCCATCTTCCATTGCCAAAAGCCTCCTGACTCTACAAAGCCTTGAGATAAGCGATTGTGAGGTTTTAGAAGAGATTATCGCACAAGAAGGAGGAGCAGAAGCTGTTGTAAATTTTCCTTTTCTGCAAGTTACCTATTTGAAGCTTGAGAATTTACCAAAACTTATAGCTTTTTATCCTGGAATACATACTTGTGAATGGCCGATGTTAAGAGAGTTGGTGATCAATGAATGTGGAAAATTCACTTCAAAATGTCTAAGCTTCCAAGAAAATTCATTTCATATTCCAGAGCCAAAATCTCTATGCTTGGAACATAAGGTACGAGTCTCTTGTTTACTTCTTTATTTAAAAAGAAAAAAACCTTCGTTTTATATATATTACATAAATTAGAACTTAATAATGTGATTTTTAACATCTCTCTTTATTTTTTTTTAAGAATAATTTAGAAAAAAGAAATAAAAATTAACGGTCAGTTGGATTTGGGCAATTTTGTTATTGGAGTCTTGTTAATTAAACTCATTAAAGTACTATGTTTAAATCATCCAATATAATTTTATAAATTAGCAAATGTTTACTAGAAATTATCAATATGATTTTATTTTCAGATATTACCAATTGGAAGACAACCTTTTGTTATTAGAGTAATGTTACGTTTATACCACTCTTTTACACTATATTCATTACATCATGATGTGACATATGTCACAGCCACACAAATTTTTTATTATTTTAAATTTTTAATATTATAAAAGAATTTGTATGGTTGTGGTATATACTACATCATCATGTAATGAAAATAGTGTAAAAAAGTAGTGTAAATATAACATTACTTTTATTATTAATATTTTAAGTTTGTACTGGAGAAGACATAGATATTATCAACTGATACTTCCCCAAAACCAAAGTCATTCTACTCACAATTTGCAGCTGCCAAATCCCTCCTCTCTCAACATGGCTGGCCTTGCAAGTGGTGCGGCTGGCCAGGGCCCCTGCTTAATTTATTTATTTTTTTTTTTTCAAAGATTATTATAAAAATAATTTTTTTTAATTATTATTATTTTACATAAATTTACTTTTCAGCTAAAAATGTTTTAAAGTTGTATAAAATTATACCCTTACAAAATGTTAAATCTAACTATCTCTAATAACATTTTATCCCTTTTTAAATCTAATTTGGAACTTATTTTCTTTTTCTTCTAGTTTCATAAAATATTATTTTTACTAGAAAAGTGTCTAACAAGTGATCCTTCTTATTATTGAAATTAATTTGACAAGTAAATTAAAGAATCATATGCAATTACCCTTTGTACTTCTCGCACTTAATTTAAACCGATTTCAAAGGTTTCATATTTAAAATTTAATTTCTAAAATATTATAATGCAATTACCCATTGTATTATCGTATTTAGAATATTAAAATAAAGCCACAACATGATGTTTCAAAACTATTTTAAAATTTTGTAAGTGTGTTTGGATTTCAATTTGAAAACATCTCAATAATATTCCTTTTATTTTACTAGAAATATCAAATATGTCTAACAAGTGAACCTTCTTATTGTTGGAAACATTATACAAAACACCTTGCAACCCAACCAAACTAATATGATCTGGTAGCAGACAAATTTGAAACAAATTATATTAGAAATTTGTAAATGTCAATAAACTATATATCAATTTCTTTGTAAGTAGAAATTTATACTATTTGTCTGTAGGGTTATGTTATGGTAAGACATCATCTAATGTAGTATTATATGCTGCCTATAATGTTATAAGTTATAAATCACACGTTTTAATTACATTAAAAAATCTAATTAAAAAAGAAATTTATCTAGAGTCCAACTAATAGTTAGGATGAGCCAACTAGGAGTCAGTTTAACAAAATAAATAAATAATAAAAGTTTTGATTTAAGAAAATAACTAACTAACTAGATTTTGTTTTGATGGATTCGTAGATCAAGTTGGATTTGAAGGTATTGGAATTAAATAATTATTTAAAAAAATTATGTTTAATTAATAGTTTTCAAAAATAGTTTCTTAATGTAATTTTAATATTGATTTGAAATTTAAAATAATGAAATTTAATTTGAAAATTCAAATAATAGAAATTTATGTTAATTTAATTTCTATAACTATTTAAAAAAATTATAAATTATTCTTAAAATAATTAAGAAAATGTAAGAAAAAGAAAACTGAAATTAGTTGCAATGGTGCCTACAACTACCAGATCGCGGATTGCAATCTTGGGTTGAAGACATAACCATCAATCATGTCTGCAATCTAAGGTTGCGCCACAGCCCTGCGATTTGTGGCTATGATCTGTATCTGTAGCCGTTTCCACTAGATTGTAGCTTAAATTCAAATAATTTAATAGACAATAGGAGGAAGTTTATATTGTAGTTTTCCAAGTTAGTGGGGGCTGAGTAGTTTTTGGGTTTCATGGGGTGTAGTTGGTAAAATCACATAAATGAAACATTTGCTCACAAATTTGATTCATAGTAGCCTTTTGAAGAATAATCATTCATTTAAATAAAATAAAATTCAATTAAAAGTATGTTTCTATTTTCTATTTTCCAAAGTAATGTTAAAAAAAAAAAAATATATGTTTAATATGTTGTTCAAAAAATAGTTTTCGAATGCAATTTTTAATATTGATTTGAAATTTAAAATATTAATGAAATATAATTTACTTGTTTTAAAATAGAATGTAGTTGATTTGTCAAAATTTGATTGGGTTTGGCCTATGACTTTTGAGCCAATAACTAAACTTTTGTTTTACGTATATAATTAAAAAACTAATCGGATTTTGTTTTCTGATGAATATGTAGATCAATAGCGATTTGGAGGTATTTGAATTAACGAATGGTAGGAAGACGATTATATGGCAGAGTCAATCTAAAGTTCTTAAAATCTCTGAGTATAAGTCAACAGATATTCCACTTGGACTTCTTCAAAGATTTGAAAACCTGAATGAGCTCAAACTAGAAGGCAATGAATACAAAGAGTTATTCTTTCCAAATCTTGAAGTTCTAAATTTAAGCTTTTGTTATAGATTGATGGGTCTATTGCCATCCTTATCTTCTTTCCAGAATCTTAAAGTTCTAAGAGTTTACTGTTACAATGGGTTGATGAAGTTAATAACACCTTCAACAGTTAGAAGTTTGGTGCAGTTGAGAGAAATGAGCGTACGTGATTGTGGAATGTTGACAGAAATAATAGAAAATGAGGGAGAAAGAGATGCAACAACAAGTACTGAAATTGTTTTTGATAATTTAAAGACGTTGTCCCTCATAAACTTAGAAAGTCTCATATGCTTTTGCTATGGGAATTACTCTTTCAATTTCCCATACTTGGAAAAGTTAATTATAAGAGAATGCCCCAATATGAAGACTTTCTCTCAAGGAATCTTAAGCACACCAAAGTTACACAAAATTGATTATGAGGACGAGGAGAAGGATTTAGAGAAGGGGTGGAGTGACCTTAATACAACCATACAACAAGCACACAAAAAATAGGTATATGTATTTAATTAATTAGTTTTAACATTTATTTTTTTAATAATATTATGTTTTTAGCATTAATTATAATAATTTTTTTTTTAAAAGTTAATTTGTATATAGGCTGAGCATCATCATTGAACTAGTGGCGAGAATACACTTAGACACCTCACTTCACTACTAGGACACAACAAACTCTGACTACATTTTTTTAAGAAATTTCTAAAACTACATTGTTTTATAAAATTATTTCTAGCAACCATTAACCCATCATATTTTATTTTTCTCCTTGTTTCCTGTTATATATATATATATATATGTTTTTAAGGAAAATATTAATTTTAATTTGATTGACATTATTTTTCTTTAGGTTGACTCCAATTTGAAGGAATTGACATTATGTGGAAGGGACGCCATGTCGTTTTGGGAAGGAGAGTTTCAAGAGAACTTTGACAAAGTAAAAACTCTTCAATTGATTAAGGATGAGTATGCAAATATTCCAATTCAAATCCTTCACAAGTTTAATAGTCTTGAAAAAATCATNTCCTTTTTTTTTTTAAGTTAATGTTATGTTTTTAGTGTTAATTAAAATTAATTATCTTTTAAACAATTAATGTTGACCATGATACCATAGAGTTTGTGTATAGGCTGAGCATAAAATTATTGTTTAACAAGATTACGTTATGCACTCTCCTATGTTTTTCTTGGAAATTTCTAAAACAGTTGTTTTATATTTGTAACAAGCATGCTTTCATCAATTTTCTTATTCTGATTTGATTCACATGATTGATCTTTAGGTTGACTCTAATTTGACGGCATTGAGATTGAGTGAACGGGATATCATACGGATTTGGCAAGGAGAACTTCCAAAGAATTCTGGCAAAGTAAAGACTCTTCAATTGATAAAGGATGAATCAACAAACATTCCAATTCAAATCCTTCAAAAATTTAGCCGTCTTGAAGAACTCAAACTTCAAGGGAGTTCGTACGAAGAGATATTCTCATGTAATGAGGATGAGGAACACGTTAAGACACTCACAAAATTAAAAGTTCTAGAATTGTTGGGACTTTTTAATTTAAAGTATATTTGGAAACAAGACTCTCGATTAAACTCAATTCTTTAAGATCTTTATCATCTAAAGGTGCAATATTGTCACAATTTGACTACTCTTTTGCCATCTTCATCGTCTTTCGAAAATTTAAGTACTTTGAAGGTGAAGTATTGTAATGGATTTAGAAACTTATTGTCATCCTCAACAGCAAGGAGTCTAGTGCGACTAGTAGAGTTGGAAGTAGAAGAATGTGAAATGATGATAGAAGTATTAGCAAATGAGGGAGAAACAGAGAAAGGTACCATTGTTTTTGAGAAATTGGAGGACTTGTTTATGTATAAATTAGAAAGTCTCACATGCTTCTACTCTGGGAGTTACACCTTAAAATTCCCAAACTTGGAAAGACTAAGAATATATGAATGCTCCAAGATGAAGACTTTCTCTGAAGGAGACTTAAGCATGCCAAGGTTACAAAAGCTGAACAGTAAAAATTGTTCAAATAGTGACCTTGATACAATTACACAACAATTACAAAATGGTAAGTAGTAATTTACTTATTAACAATGTACTTTTTCTATAGACTTTTTTGCTCTCCTTCATTGAATTAATACTAGTCAATCCCCATTGTCTTATAATTGATTTTGTCTTTGATTAAAATCCTCTAAGTGAATCAATTATAGACTATCAAGTATATATAGAGAAGCAATATTACAATTTATATTTGAAAGCAGGACAAAGGGCATAAGAGCAAGTAACATTAATTAGTATATACCAAACACTATTTTTGTTCTTTAAAGTTACACTTGATTATTTGTGTTTTTGAAGTATTGAGGTGGTTGTTGAGGAAATTCCTCATCTTCTTGTTTAATTGATAAATTATCATCCCCCCCACCCCCCCCCCCCCCCCGCAGAACAAAAATATCTCTTCTTGAACGATAAGGTATGAATATTTAATTATTTCATTGTTTATTGAAAAATAAAATTAACTTAAATTATGCCTTCCCAAGTTTTAATTACATCAAAAAAAATTTAATAAAAAAATTTTATTTGAGAACGAGAAATAAAAATGAATGTAATCTTAATATATATATATTTTGCAAAATAACGTAAACAAAAAAAAAATCTAAAAAGTATGTTTAATTAGTAGTTAAAAACAAAAAAAATAGTTGTTGAATGTAATTTTAATATTGACTGGAAATTAAAAATAATAACAAAAAGGTAATTTACAAGTTTTAAATAGATTGTAGTTGAACTATCAAAAATAGTAAATTAGATTTATTTTTTTTAAATAAAATAAAATAGCCTCCATAGTGTGTCTTCGGCCTATGACTTTTAAGCCAACAATGAAAATATTCTTATAAGAATATAAAAAACTAACTGGATTTTGTTTTGATGGATTTGTAGATCAACTCGGATTTGGAGAGACTGGAATTACATAATGCGATCAGAATGATTAGATGGCAGAGTCAATCTAAAGTTCTTTATATCAATTATGATAAGTCAGCAAGTATTGCACTTGGAATTCTTCATAAATTCGAAAATCTGAAAGAGCTCAAACTATTTGGGTGTAAATATAGAGAAATATTCTCGTGTGGAAAGGAAGAGAAACATACTGGGAGGCCCACCCATAAGCAAATCAAGAGCCTATCTGATCTTCCAAATCTTGAAGTTCTAGATGTACATTACTGTGATAGATTGATGAGTCTAGTGCCATTCTCAGCTTCTTTGCAGAATCTTAAAGTTTTGAGTGTAACTTCTTGTGAGGGATTGATGAAGTTAATGACCCCTTCAATGGCTAGAAGTTTGGTGCAGCTAAGAGACATGAGCATCTCTTATTGTGAAATGCTGATAGAAATAGTTGAAAATGAGGGAGAAGGAGATGCAACAACAACAACAACTGAAATTGTTTTTAACAATTTGAAGAAGTTGTCACTTGAACAGTTAGAGAGTCTAACCTTCTTTTGCTCTGGGAATTACTCAGTCAATTTCCCATCTTTGGAAGAGTTAATTATAAAGTATTGCCCCAATATGAAGACTTTCTCCAGAGGAATTTTAAGCACACCAAAGTTACATAAAATTGATTATGAGAGGAAGGAGAAAGATTTAGAGAATGGGGGGAGTGAGCTTAATACAACCATACAACAAGCAGACAAAACAAAGGTATATGTATTCAATTAATTAGTTTAAACATTTATTTATCTTTCCCCCTCTCCGGCCCCCCCCCCCCCCCCCCACCCCACCCCCCCCCCCCCCCCCCCACCCCCCCCCCCCCCCCCCCCCCCCCCCCCCCCCCCCCCAACCCCCCCCCCCCCACACCCCCCCCCCCCCCCCCCCCCCCCCCCCCCCGTCCTTTTTTTTTTTAAGTTAATGTTATGTTTTAGTGTTAATTAAAATTAATTATCTTTAAACAATAATGTTGACCCTGATACCATAGAGTTTGTGTATAGGCTGAGCATAAAATTTGTTTAACAAGATTCGTATGCACTCTCCTATGTTTTTCTTGGAAATTTCTAAAACAGTTGTTTTATATTTGTAACAAGCATGCTTTCATCAATTTTCTTATTCGATTTGATTCACATGATTGATCTTTAGGTTGACTCTAATTTGACGGCATTGAGATTGAGTGAACGGGATATCATACGGATTTGGCAAGGAGAACTTCCAAAGAATTCTGGCAAAGTAAAGACTCTTCAATTGATAAAGGATGAATCAACAAACATTCCAATTCAAATCCTTCAAAATTTAGCCGTCTTGAAGAACTCAAACTTCAAGGGAGTTCGTACGAAGAGATTCTCATGTAATGAGGATGAGGAACACGTTAAGACACTCACAAAATTAAAAGTTCTAGAATTGTTGGGACTTTTTAATTTAAAGTATATTTGGAAACAAGACTCTCGATTAAACTCAATTCTTTAAGATCTTTACATCAAAGGTGCATTGTCACAATTTGACTAATCTTTTGCATCTTCACGTCTTTCGAAAATTAAGTACTTTGAGGTGGAAGTATTGTAATGGATTTAGAAACTATTGTCATCCTCAACAGCAAGGAGTCTGGCGACTAGTAGAGTTGGAAGTAGAAAGTGTGAAATGATGATGATAGAAGTATTAGCAAATGAGGGAGAAACAGAGAAAGGTACCATGTTTTGAGAAATTGGAGGACTTGTTTATGTATAAATTAGAAAGTCTCACATGCTTCTATCTGGGAGTTACACCTTAAAATTCCAAACTTGGAAAGACTAAGAATATATGAATGCTCCAAGATGAAGACTTTCTCGAAGGAGACTTAAGCATGCCAAGGTTACAAAAGTGACAGTAAAAATTGTTCAAATAGTGACCTGTATACAATTACACAACAATACAAAATGGGAAGTAGTAATTACTTATAACAATGTACTTTTTCTATAAGACTTTTTGCTCTCTTCATTGAATTAATCTAGTCAATCCCCATTGTCTTATAATTGATTTTGTCTTTGATTAAAATCCTCTAAGTGAATCAATTTAGATAATCAAGTATATATAGAGAAGCAATATTACAATTTATATTTGAAGCAGGACAAAGGGCATAAGAGCAAGTAACATTAATAGTATATACCAAACACTATTTTTGTTCTTTAAGTTACACTTGATTATTTGTGTTTTTGAAGTATTGAGGTGGTTGTTGAGGAAATTCCCATCTTTTGTTTATTGATAAATTATCATCCATTAGAGTCCCAAAATTAATATGTTGTTCTTATTATTACAGATTGTTCAGAGTTTTGTAAAAAATATAAAGGAGAAGAAGAGTGAGTGGATAGCAAACTATTAATGTCATCAACACACAGCAAAGTCATTTGGTAAGTTTTCCCTTGGAAGTGTGTCTATGTGCTTTCGGAAATTCAATTAATTAAATAGATCATCGGGGTATAAATTTTAAGAGATTACAAGGTATATATGATATTGATTAAACTTTGAGGGACTATTTAAAATCTTCTGTTAGGATAAAATTGAAATAATATTAGCTTACAGGGACTTTAGTGATATTATCAAACCGTGTAAATTTATATGAAGAAAATGCAGCGATGGTGATAGTAGTAGGAGATACACAGAGTTAGGCGTCTCCTTCCTTGGTGGCTAACGGCGATATGACTCCTGTCCAGTCCGCTCTAGTATCCGGCTGCCTGGCTTTAGTTTACAGTGAATTTCAAATGAGCTATATCGAACACGTGTGTCCTCTCCCTTTCAAAATCGTCTGACGGTCCCGCCTGCTCAAACCGGCGGCAGTCCACGTCATTTTCGTCGTCTCAAATACTTATCATTAAAACTAATAGAACATGTGTGTTTATATTTGTTAATTTTTTAATTTCACAGATGAGATTGCCAAGTTGTTCCCGAATCTGTTCGCAAGAATCGGCGAAATTGGTGCCAAACGGTGTCCATAGGCTTCAGGAAGATCAAAGTTGAAAATGGGCATCGCGTTTGACTGGGCTTTAGGCGACAGGTGGATATAATGTGATCTCAGGAATTTTGGGTGAGGATCTATATGATCTGTAAGTTTAAAACGTGGTTTGCTTAAATGTTGTTTGAAAATGTGATTTTTGTGTTTCATTGATCATGAAGTGAAAATACATCGAATTGCTCCTGAACAAATCAAATTGAACCAATTGTTTTTTTTTGAGTGAAATTTATAGTTTTCAAGGTATTCAAATGTGGTCGATAGGCATTAATTAATGCTTGTTGGATAAATTACATTTGATGAGATTAATTAAGTCCTTAAAAGTGTATTATCTAACAGTTTAAATTGTATTTCAATTTGTGCAGGTATAATTTGATAGTTTATTGATATGCAAAACTGTTAATATACACTGTTAATAGTGTTGTTTATGTTGGATTTTTAGTGAGTTATGAGCCAAGCAGAGGATAGGTGTTCAGGCAGGGAATCAATGTATGTTCAAAGCCTGTCTTACTCTTGTAGTCTTTTTCCTTTTAAAGCTTTTTGTTTTTTGATTGTTTTTCATTTTGGTCACCGCCGCTTCGTAGTGCAGAAAGCTAGAAATGGCAGTACATATTAGAGATTGATCTTATATATTCATATGTTTTGTACAAATGTTTAAAAGTTTTTTTCTTGGTTTTTGTTCTGCATGGTTTGGGGCTTTGATGTGTAGTTTTAGTGAAACCTTTTAGGGTATGTAAAATTTAGCTTGTAAGTGTTTTTCTTGGGTATTGTTGAGAATATGCATCCTTTATCATTGAAGATTAAGGATCTTAATTAACTATTGGAATTGACTACTGTATGAATTTGTTACTGTCAGAGGCTGACCATGACTAGTATAGCAGAGTTTTTGGTTGTTAAGAAACTGTAAGTTTGTGAATTGACTACTATGTGTAGTGGAGGTGAAGATGTTCAAAGGGAGCAATGGCATGCTTATAAATTTCGAATTATTGCCAACAAGTAATTTTGTGCTGCTGGTTTCTTCATTTTGGTCATACATCTCGACAGTGGCAATGGGGAGCTATGTGTAAAAATCTTTTAAAAATGACCAAAGTACAGCTAACAAAAATATGACTGGTGGAATTATGAAAAATGATAAAGTTTTCAGGGTACACATGATTGTGAGAATGTCAAATTAAAGGAACCAATGACATGCTTGAATATGCTGCAAGTGCGTGATTCAAATTTTAATATAAAGAAATACGTAAATAAATTAATAACTTATCTCTTATTTATCTTAGTATCAGTCTCTGCGGTTCTGGGTGCCACTTGTTAATGTTTCTTGCATGCCATCAGTCACTAAATGAAGTTTATAGTTCAAAATATTTTTGAACTTCTGCATCTTGGTCCTACATGAATTCTTTTGAAGAAACCTTTTTTAGTGGACGCTCAACTTTACCATATGTGTTCATAGGTGTCAGCTACTGATTTATTGATTTGTTTGTTTTTGGGATTTGTTCTTTATCCAGAGAAATGCAGCCGACTTACCTTGGGAAAGAAAATAGAACTGGTTAATGACATTGCCCAATATGGTCCAAAAATGCCACAGAGATTCTTAGCTCATTTAGCCTCAGGGAACTTCTTGAAATCTGGCGTGCTAAATTTCCAATGATAGAGCATCCACAAAAGTTAGTTCTCAAAGTCCCTGAGGAATAGCATGGATAATTTTCAATTACTTAATTGTGCATGCTCTTAGACTTTCATTCTCCAATAACATCAATTTAAATTTTCTTCCGTCTCCTATTAAACAATTGAGTTATTGATATGATAATAAATCTGCTTCATTATATAACAGATTTAGTTTATCTTTTTTCATCTTTGTCTTTAGAAACATCTCATTTCTTTTTTAAAATGTGATTAGGGAATCTTTTTATACTTAAATGTTGACTTCATTATGCTTAATCACTGAGGAAATCAAGTTGAAAACTTGTTTCTTGGTTACTATTTGAAGCAAGGAACATGTACACATCGGTATAATTTTCTGTGGATATTCAAAGATTTTTATTTTGATAATTTCTCTATTCCTACTATTCTATCTATTCGTTATCTCTGCTCCTATATCACTGACTTAAGAAATAAGATTTTTGTACAAATCTTTTCTTTGACTGGGATATATCTTTCTACAGGTTGCTTTCGAGAAGCAAACACTGGAAAATATCGCAGACCACATTCTAGATGGAATCTGTAAACCAGCTGGACTTGGTCACAACTACAGGGCCATATCCATTCCAGAAGGTCTAATTAATTTCATTCTTGAGATATTTTCTCAGACGTATAATATACAATTCTGTTTTTAACTTATTTTCCTTTAAAGTTGTGACTCTAGAGGTCAAATTAAACTATCTTGCTAATTCCTGTATTTTTCTTTACCTCACTGTCAATTATTCAAGTAAACAAAAATGAGTATTGTAGTGCTTTTCCTTACCTCATTGTCACTATATCCTATAGAAGCATTTGTAAAGAATAACTTTTATTTCATATTTTTATCTATCATATATACTTTATTATTATTATTATTTTGTATTAAAATTTTGCATCTTAGTTTACTTATATTATTCTCATTTTTATACAGGATGATGATCCAATTAATGAAGATGATTCAGAAGTGCAGTTGATGAAGACAATGACTCATGAATGATGATTAAAGAAATATTTTAGTTGACTTGAACCTTGTTTCACAGGTCCTCTCGAAGCTTTTAGGTTCAAAGTCAAATCAGGCAAAGATAAACATCATTAATGACATTGGTGGCATTGCTAACGCTGGAAGGTAGTACTAAAGATTTTATGTTAGTCAAATTAACTTGATGAATTGAGATAATCCTTTTTTGGGTCAACCATACTGATCTGTAGTTATTGATAGACCACCCATGAGCAAGGTCTACAGGTTGAAAGGCAAGAATAGGCGTTAAGGGCAGTGAGTGTGGAGAGTGTGAGTGAGTTTTTTAAAAGAATATACACATGGCTGATATTTAGAGGATGGATTTAGTGTCAGTTAGTAAAGGGTAATTAGTATATAGTAAAGAGAGAGAGAGTGTGAGGTGATTATCAAGTAAATTCTTCATAGGTCATTAAGGGAGGCTCCTCAGCTCCTCGAACTGCTGGGAATCTATCTGTTTGGGTGCTATACTTCTTCATTTGTTATTTCAACCCTTATATTAATACTAATACAGTTCATATCCAAGTGTGTGTTCTCTTGCTTGTTACTTTTGTGTGTATTGCTGTTGGTTTTAGTCAATTTTACAGGAGGCTCCATCAGTTAGGTGAATTGTCTGTGTGGAATTCCCACTTCTAATGTAAATTAATGTTAAGTTTAACTTATAATAGATGCACTGATTTTTCTAATTTAACCTTCTGCAATTGACACTTATTTGTAAGAATTTAATTTCTTACATACTCAATGATTCGTATAAACTTAGGTAACTTTGAAAATGTTTCATTAGCATTTTTGAAGAATTTCTTTTCTGGTAGAAGGTCTTACAGAGGAAAATTTAGAAAGTTCTTGGGGTTATGAAATGAAATGTGTACTAAAGTGTGCTTGCATTATTGCAGGATGACTTTTCTGCTTTGCTCTCAGGAAATCTTGACAAATCTTTTAAGGTTTCAGAATTTGTCTATACTTAGATCATCATTTTAAATACATTTGGAAAGTTACTGTATTGAATATCACAGATATATAATCTTGAAAAATCTCTAAAGGTTCGTCTTCTTTATATTACAGAGAGAATGTCGCGTTTGTTATTTCAGATATAATATTTCATGTTGAACTTCTGAAGTGTTGAAGGCTGACCCCATTACTTTTCTAGGAAGGATTAAATAGGTTCCTACCCATATGTTTATTTATTTTTAGCTTAATACAAGATGACAAATAAGTAAATAAGTTAATTTTATTTCTCCATGGACATTGTGTGCTAAGTTTAGCTTCTGCTTTCTTCAACAGGTGGCGGGAAGTTTTGATTCAGTTGCTGAGAAGGGACTTTTCTATAGACAAGTGTCCTGAGAAGTTAATTGGACTGAAAGCTGAGTTGGAACTCTGCACTTTACTAAGTTTTTCTTTATGAGCTGAGTGTCCTGGAAAATGCTCCACATGGCATGGGATTGAGGAACCACGGAAGCTTTTCATTATTCTGAAGTAAGCTATGAGATAACTCTTTCATTGGACTTTGTATGTCGACTTGATCAATAATGGGGTTCATTTTTTTTTCATGTCGTTGATGCATCTTTCCATTTGTAATATAATAGAAATTATTTTTTTTTCTTTTGTCAAACACAATTAAATATGAAGAAACTAAATTCACTTCCATTCATTAAGAAAAAATCCTGATATTGTGTTGGGAAGCCTTGTTTTTATGCTGAAAGTGCATTTCTCTTTCATTTGTACTATTAATATTTTCTTGAAAAAAAGATTATAGCTATCAACAATTTGAGAAAAAAAATATTGAGACAAAATGGATCAATTGCATCAACAAAAACATAACATTGATAAAAGGACATATATTTTCATATTTTATTTTCTGGCTTCTTTTTTGAAAATTGACCTAATGTTATGCTTTCAATAAACCATCAAAATATGATTCATTTATTTCTTAAACTATGATTTAAAAATGTATCTGAAATAATGTTTACCCACCAAATATTGTACCCCATATGAACATACACTCTTCACATCCTGTATTTTTGTTGTTAACTCATTTTCCTTTAGAGTTGTGATTCTAGAAGTTAAATTATACCCTCTTGCTAATTCCTGTATTTTTCTTTCCGTGTTCTCATTTATGCAAGGAAACAAAAATGTGTATTGCAGTGCTTTTTCTATACCTCATTGTCATTGTTTCCTATTGTTTCACTGGAAGTATTCTAGTTTTTACATGTCAATGGTATCTTACTACAAGGTTTGGGCATCAAAAAGATTTTTCGACAAGCTACTCTTTTGGATAGTTTTGGAATCTAGTACTAATTAGTAGTGGAGATTTTGTGGTTTAGGAGATCTTTAATTATATAGTCTCACAAAAACTGTCCTTATTGCTTAATTGAAAACCACTTTTACTGCCTCTTATGATTTTTTGCTCATTTTGCTTTTCTAAGCAGTTAATTGTTGTTTTTAGTAGTTTTTAATTGTTCTGTGGCATTGTTTTCTAGCAATTACAACTATTATTTCAAATTTAGATTTATCATGTAAATATTTTTTTTATTATTTTATTTTAAAATTATGCATCTTAAGTTTACTCATGTTATTCTCATTTTTTTGTAGGGTGATGATCCAATAAATGAAGATGATTCGGGAATGAAGTTGATGCAGAAAAAACGACTCATGCATGATGGTTAAAGAAAAATTTTAGTTGACTTGAACCTTTTTTCACAAGTGCACCTGAAGCCTTGAGATTCAAAGTCAATCAAGCAAAGATAAGCATCAATAATGAGATCAGTGGCATCATTAAGCCTGGAAGGTAATATTAAAGATTTTATGTTAGTAAAATTAACTCAATTGATGAATTGACATAATTCTTTTCTGGGTCAATCATACTGATCTGTAATTATGCATATCACTGAATTTGTCTTTTTGAAGTCCCAGCTTTTATTGTAAATTTATGTTACCTTTAACTCACAATGGATGCATTGATCTTGCTAATTCTATCTTGTGCCTCGCCACTAGTCAACACCTTCTGCCAGTGACACTTATTTGTAATTCAGCTCCTAATTCACGGGGTCAGCTTTCATCTTCCCTTCCTTTTGTTTTTTATAGTTTGGAAGAGTTAGGTGAGCTGGACTGGATTGCAGAGTGTTTGCTCTGCTGAAACTCTGCAACTTACTGAGGCTTATTATTTGATTGTTTGTGCTCATGCTTGTCTCAATCGTCACATTCATTACCTATTTCTGATATAGTTTCGAAAAGCAGAGTTCCATATTTAAAATCTAATCATGTGAAAATCTATTACTGGAGCTGCTTAAATGACAAATTCTCCTTCCTCTAGTATCAAAGCCGCCCATCTGATTGTCTCAATTTCAGCATTTCCGGACCTTCCCTGAACGATTTTTTTGGGTAAATTTATAGTTTCAAAGTGACATTCTCTATAGTTTCTGCTTTTACTTTCAATAATGTGTTGTTCTTTATGTTTACATATAATTCCTATTTCTCCGATGCAATTTTCAGAGTGAAGCCTCCTCATAGATTGTGAGACCTTGCAGCTCATGTTCCTTCAGTTTAAGTGAGACGATGAAAGGGCCATCTTTCATCTCCTATTTCTGCTTTTATATGTTTTATTCATTGTGACGACGATGTTCTGATTCTGGAAGTCTTACAACACGTGTGTTTCTGGCGTTTGATCATTTGAGATTGAATGGTGGAAGGAACCCCTTACATTTACTAATGCTGTGAATTATGTACCTCGAAGGATGTATATATTTACGAACTACTTTTGGTGCATTGTGATGGCAGTTCTAACACACAAAGTAATTCAATTGTTTAGTACAGTGTTGAGGATTATAAGAACTCAGCTCCAGGCCTCCTTCAGAATTCAGAATCTGCATAGTTTCAGGGTATGGTTAGCTCTGTTAAGAGTTAACAGAGTTAGCTGGTAGTCCTTATGTCTCTGTTTTAACCACCAAGTAATTAGATTGTTATGTTATGTAGAACCCATTAAAACGATGATTGTTGCTATCAAAGTGAATATTAGCCAAGGTTCGAGTTGACTATTTTCTCAATGATCGGCAAAATTAGGATTGAAATTGGCTTGAAATTGGATGAAACTTGTATATTTGGTTGTGTGGAACTTTCTTTCTCATTATTCTTCTTCATATAATGAATCTCCGTTGTTTTTCTTCTTATAGTGAAACTGGCGTCATCAACGTAGGCCATTTGGCCAAACCATTTATATCATCTACTCTTTGAAAGATTTAAAGACATGTGACAATTACATCATCTAATGATTATGATCCATTCATATAAAATATAGAGTTTTTACTTAGACAACAAAAAACTTTATACAACTATCCAAAAAGAAAAAAAAAAAAAAAAAAAAAAGTGCTCTCATTGAAACACAACGGTCTCTTAGTTATTCCTAGCCTCCTCCTTTTCCCAAGTTTTATTAATTCATTGTTATTGTCGATTTTAAGACCGTTTAATTGTTAGCGAGTGAAGAAACAGATGAAGAAAAACAGCTAATCAACAATAGCAAAACAGCATAAGATAATACTAGCTTGTTGGATTTTGACTTTTGCTGGAGTATAGACTTGACAACCACCCCCCCCCCCCCCCCCCCCCCCCCCCAAAAAAAAAAAAAAAAAAAAATTGCCTCACTTGTGTTACAATGGCATCCCCATTAGAAGGGAGTTTTTAGTATACGTGAGAAAAAATTGTTTACAATAATTAATTTACTAAAAACACTATGTCTTTTAAGGTAAAAAAGGAAAATAATTAAAATAATGTATCATAACCATTGGATAGTGTAACCGTCACGTGTCTTTAGATCTTATAAATATTAGTAAAAATTAAATTAACGGATCCAAATCCTTAAAAAGTAGAGTTATTGTGCCTAAGTTAACCTCCGTGAAGGTTTCATAAATATCAATAAAACCCTTAAAGTATGAGAAATATTCAATAACCTCCCTTCAAATTTGGCAAAAGTTATAACTTGTCTCCCTTTCACCCTTTGAACATGTTTGACATCTAATGCTCAAATTCATGGTCAAACATAACATCGTCAAGTAATGTAAATGATGATTTTATGAAATGTGAAGGTTAGAGGAAATAAGGTTAGAGGATAATTTGCCTCATTTCTTTGCAAATTAAACAAGGGAATGGGGAATGACCACTCCAAGGGAGTTTTCATTCCCCCAAAACGGAGGAATCGGTATTCGAATGACAAGGAATGGGTTGAAATTTTATCCTTCCCCTTATTTCAAATTGATATTATTAATTTTTAATCATTTTTAAATATAATTAAATATTAATTATTTAATAAATTAATAATTATTAAATAAAATAAAAATAATTAAAATCACTGAAAATTAATTTTTTATTCCATAATTAAAAAGTTAATTTTTATGTAATAAATATACTTTTTATTTAAAAAATTGAAAAACTTCAAAATTGGTCAACACTAGTCAATGTTGCCAAAGGACACCTTTTCACTCTTCCGATCTCACTGTTGGCGAGTGAAGGATCTACGGCCTTCGATTTGCTAATTTATGGAGACATCAACCTCTGAAGACTGGGTAGCTAATGTCAAGTAAAGCGACAGAAGATATGGCCATCACATGTGACATTAGAGCATCGATATTTAATTATATGTAAGATATTGTATGTTTCAATTCAAATATGTTATGAAATATTTTAAATTATTAGGTTATTTCGCCTAATATATTTTTAAGAAATTTTATTATATAACAAAATATATGTATATAATAATTTAATAATGTAGCCATTTTTGTTCAAAAATCATAAATTTTTTTTTTTTTTTGGTAATTTATAAAGAATAAATAATTTACACCTAATCGGGGAGAACCCTTAAACCGAGGAACCCTTTTAACAAAGCAAAGGGAACGCTAACAAAAAGAAAAACAAAAGAGCAAGGATATACTATCCTTTAAAAAGCATCACACACCCCAAACCAACAAAAACTAGACCTAGCAAACGGGCGGGTATGGTCCGGGTAGCAACGGGTCACGGGTGGAACGGGTCATGGGTGAAAAATTCTCACGGGTTGACATTTTCATGATCCGTACCCGCCCGTGCGAGCACGTGTCACCCGTGAAAATGGAAACAGTCTTTTACATTTTTCATATTTTTTACTGTTTTCTATATTAAACTTATTAGTTATTAACTTATTATATTAAATAAAGGGATGATTAAATTAAATTTGATTAGATTTCACCAACATTATTAATTCAATATTAATATTTTTCATATTTATATCAAACTCCACCATATAGATAATAGAATTAATAAACACTAAATATATATAGTAATTACTAATTATTAAACACTAAACATATAAAATTGTTTAACATTCAACATACATAACATAGTAAACACTAAATAATTAAACATATATAATTGTTTAACCAAAGTACCAAACACACTAAACAAACAAAGCCGCCCTTGATTATGCAATCTCCTTCCCCCGCACTTGACTTAATAGCACAAGCAGCTAAACATCATCAATTTCATCTTCTACAATTAACAAGATATAAGTTAACTATCGTAATATATTAACAAACAAAAATATTAAAACATATGAAATATAAGTTAAAATGTTACCTTTAACTTCATATCCAGAAATCCATGTCCTGGTGCATATCAAAGATTCTGCATTCTCTGGTAAAAGTGAACTTCGATATTTACTGAGCACTTTGCTACCAATACTGAAACTGGATTCCGAAGCAACAGTCGTTATTGGTATACTCATCACATCACGGGCCATCATCGAAAGTATCGAGTATCGATCACTATTTTTCTTCCAATGGTCCAAGACATTCAAATTACAAAATTTGATGCGATCAAACCTTGCCTCTCTCAAATAAGTTTCCAATTCAGACTTCTTAGTAGCATTAAAGTCACTCTTGTAGTAGTCAAATTCCTGTACCATTTAAATATTTAAATTTAATAAAGTAAAATTACAAAATAAAGAAAACTTTATTAATCACAAGAATATAAAAATATTTATAATTCACGTGAAATTTATTAATTCGAAAAGATTCTTTGTTAAAGATCTCAAATGTACTGTACAAGTACAAGAGCGCATATCCATGAGTTGGTCCCGCCTTTATTATATCCTAACCCCTTTTATCATAATGGGCAAAGACTAAAGATATTTCCAAGCATGGAGGGTGTATTCAGAATTTCTGAAAAGAACCTGTCAAGAAGATTACAATAAAAACTAGTTGTGACACCCCTTTCGCTTTCCTGTTCAAAAGGTAAATTTCGAAGTCTCTAGAATCAGAAACCCGAGTCCTCACCACCTATATATCTCACTCCAATTCAAACCCTCTCTCATTCAACACGTATAGTCATATTCTTGTATTTGAGTTTGAGAGCGGATTTGGATAGGAGCTCCGGGGACCTGTCGGATCTTTCCATTAATTTCTCCAATTTCGATCGGCGATCTCCTGAATTCTGATTGAAAGTTCGTCATTCAAAAGAGTTTCTTATAATTTTAGTTAGTTTGATTTTCTCTCCTTTCTTCTATATGAATTGTTGATTATTTTAGGTAATGTGTTATAAAAAGATGCAGGTTTTGCTTTGATTTTTGATAAGTTAATTAACTTAGATTAAGAGGCTAAGTTCTGTTTTGTTTGGTTACCTAGAAACATGACAGGAAGGAGCTGCTGTGTGAGTGAGAGAGTGAGGGAGTGGAGCTGCTGTGAGAGGACTGAGGAGTGGTCGTGGAGCTACTGTGGCCTGTGAGAGAAGAGAATGAGCTGCTGCGTTTTTTGTTTTTTTCACTAATAAGTTTTGCTGTTTTGGTTTAGATTAGGGTTTGAGTTGAGACTTGAGAGGGTGAGACTGTGAGACGAGTGATAAGTTTTATTTTATTTTTTTTTTAAATTTCAAATTTGCGGGTCTGCAAGTACTCGCGGGTAGTACCCGGTCCATCCGCAAAAGTCATGGGCGGGTCAGATTCTCACGGGTCAAAATATGTGTTATCCGTACCCGTCTGTTAGGTACGGGTACCCGTTGATCCGCGGGTACACCCACCCGTTTGTCAGGTCTAGCAAAAACAATGAAGGGTGCCTATACAATCTTTAAATTTTATTCCATTCCATCATTATTGATCGATATAAATAAATAACGTAATCATATTCATTTCTTCAGGTATCCTCATTTCCATCCGCATAAGCATCCTCATTCCTATCGCTAT